TAAGACTTTAGGGACAATAAAAAACAAAGCTCTCTACTGTACAACTAATATTCTACATTCATAATTAACCAACAATATATTTAATGTTAGTAAAGAAAAAAGTGTATTTAACACTAATTTTTATTCTATAAGGTATTTGAATTTATTTTATTTTTTCAAATAATTTTTTTATCTTACAAAAAGTTTATTCAAATGGAAAATATTATTTTTTTACACAAAAACTTAATATGACAAATAAATTATTACTTTATACCAAAAAATATTGACCAAACAAGGTCAACTGGCCTCACAACAGGTTAAACTCGTTTTGACCCATCTCATTGTGTCTAGTTCAAGTGGGTTGAGAATCCCAACTCAATTTGCTATTTACGGCGAGTTAAACGAGCCAACTGACTGGTTAGATTCGTTTTGTCACCTCTAGTCAAAACTATGGCTGCAACTAAGTAGTCGACCCATTGCAAAGCACCTGGACCTCTCTCCTGTATAAAATGAACGTGGCTTAACACAGTGTTAGAGCACACTCGATGTCATAACCGCTTGCTTTGATCACATACGACCTTATACCAAAGCAAAATGTTCCTTGTAGGAATATATGTTATCCTTTCGGGTAAAGGTTTATAGTCTCTAAATTAATAACTTGCCCTATATATAAATATAGGTCAAATACTATCTTGTTGCAGGAAGGTCAGTCTCTTATGTCAAGAGACATAAATCAGGCGGGCCTCACATATATAGAGAAAATAAATGCAATTTTCGATGTATCTATAGTAGGACAATACTTTCTTCGTTAACAAGAGAAAGTATTTCCCCATAAATATAAGGCTTACGCTTCAATATAGGCATTTTCCTCCTTTGTGAGTACTCCACCTTATTTATATAGTTGATTTGATTGTTGGATTGATTATATGTGCATACCACCTTTTGTTTGCTACTATAACACAAGGAGAAATAATGCCAAACAACTCATACCTAGTGGCGGAGCCAGCCTCTCGACTCAGCCAAGGCTAAGGAGAATTTAACTGGTGTCAAACACTAAAACGTGGAAAATTATTTAACTAAGGTTAAAACATGGTTAATTTTTTAAAACAAGCTAGGGCCAAGACACCCACTCCATCCAACATGGCTCCGCCACTACTCATACCGGTTAAGAATCACCACATTTTGTTTGAAACTCTGGAAAGAAATCATCATATCCAACATATGAGATAGAACAAGAATATAACGTTCCAATCTATACCAAACACCCTCTCAGAGTGAGTTAGGAAAAAAAATGTACCTATTATTTGACATTTTAATTTGTATCTTTTTGAGAATTCAAAGTATAACTTGGTATATAAAATTTCACATTAATTGCACGTATATAATAATTAAGCCTACTCTTAATATTAATTTTGGTGACATTATGGATGGTTTTTTCTATTTTAAATTCATATATGTGTTATTGTTTAAATATTTAAGGATAAGTTCATAAGGAATCACTGAAGTAATCAATATATTTGAATGTTGTTATCGATTAAACTATTGGGTCTAGTTACGCTAAATATCTATTATCCAAAATACAAGACAATTATGTCACTCTCCGTAATTATTCTCTATATCATGCCAAGTAACAATCATTGGCATAATATTCCCCTCGTCCATGGTATTACTCTCACGCCTCACACACGGCTACTGGGCCTATTATTTGTATCATCATTTAAAGGCAAGCTTGCACACTTGAAGGGACTTTTTGGATCCATTGTATATTTTTACTCTATTAAATTCTCTATAGACTCTCTATTTAGAGCACTCCAGGCCTCATAATAGATACCACCACCTTATTCCTCCGTTCACATGGCAAAAAATTAATTCAAAATTTTCGACGGAAAACAAATTCCGTCGAAGATTTTCCACGGAAACAAATTTCGTCGAAGATTTTCCACAGAAAACAAATTCCGTCAATGATTTTCCACGAAAACTAATTCGGTCGAAGATTTTCCACGGAAACAAATTCCGTCAATGATTTTTCCGTCGAAGATTTTCCTCGGAAACAAATTTCGTCAATGATTTTCCACGAAAACTAATTCCGTCGAAGATTTTCCACGGAAACAAATTCCGTCGAAGATTTTCCACAGACACAAATTTCGTCGAAGATTTTCGACGGAAATAAATTCCGTTGAAGATTTTCGACTGAATTTTTAATTTCGTCGAAAAATGGGTTATCAACGAAGGAAAATTCGACGGCTTGAATTCTGTCAAAATTGAAGTTTTCGACGAAATTATTTCGTTAAAAAAATGGACTTTTTTAGTAGTGATCTAGTCAACAACTCATGTTCCATGACATAGATAAAGTCAATAGGGTCTTGTTCATAGAGACCTAATACTACTTTGAGTCTTGAGTTTATTTATGCTTTTTTATTTATTGGTTTGTATTTGGGCACATAAATATTTGATGCAATTTAAGGTTATCTATCTATGCTATTTATATATTATTGTAATTAAGTGCTTGTAACACGTGCAATACAAAAATATAATAATAAATTTTCTGAAAGTTTCCTTATATTAAAGTTGGAGGTGACAAAATAGGCCTAACCCGTCGAGTTGACTCGTTTAACCAGGCACCACAAATGGCGATGTTGGGTTGAGATTTTCAACCCGTCAACCCGCCCTGTATAAGAGGGTCAAAATAGGTTCAACTTGTCGCGGGGCGGGTTGGCCTACGAGTCATTTTTTTTAATGTTATGTAGAATTTTATTTATCAGCAGACTTTTGTGATACCTAATTTTGTTTTTATCTTAGTATTATTCCCTTAGAAAAAAATAAAAAGATAAACTTTTATTTATGACAAATGTTATCCATATATGGAGGCAAAAATGAGTTTCAAAGAATGTTTGACTGAATATTAGCATACATTTATGCTTTAGATTTTAAAAAATTAAGAAAAGTGTAAAATAAAATAAAATAAAATTATAAAATTCATAAAGTATAATTTATTTTTAAATTTAATTATTATTTTTTAAATGAATTGACTCGCCAACCTTCTAAATGGGTTGATATTTTTACTCACATTCAAAAGGCGGGCCAACCTCTTCCATCCTCTTTTTGGTGGGGAAGGCAAACCCACTTTTCCATTTTGAAGTGTAACAAAATAAAATGTATATACTACTTTTCCACCTTCTATATATATTTTTTATTTGCAATTGTGAATGTTGCTTGCCTGGATGCTATTTGATAAATTAAGGACGTTGAGGTAGATGGCTAAAAACTTTAAGAAGATTGTTTTTAAGAAAAAAAAAAACAATCATTTTATACTCACAAAAGGAAAAAAGAAGAGAGAAAAATAGGTAAGAGAAAAAAATTAAAATGGATTCCACATAAAATTTATGTGTATAGGAAGAATTTTTTTTTTTTTTATACAACATAAGAAAAATAATCCCCAAACTTTAACATATAAAACATCATAATTTCTTCCTTTTTATTTTTTACCTCCCATCATATTTGTTTAGTCCATCTAAGGGTGTTAACAGGTCGAGCCGAGCCGAGTTTTGATCTTAAAAGGTTAAGCCTGTGTTTAAATGTGTCAATCTGACCAAGCCTGTTATCTGTTATGAATATAATTATCGGCATGTGACCTGACTTATTTACAAAAAATATAAGCCTGGTTTAGCCTATTAGCCTGTTTAAAAAATTTAAGATAACAAAAATTTATCCAAACAGAATATACAATCAACAATACTAGTAATTCCATAAATATTCATAAATTCAATGTACATCTAAACAGCATAATACAGAACAAAATCATTCAAAAAGTTTGTTTAATCAATAAAATGAGGTGAAATGAATTGAGGAGAGAGAGAGCTACTGAAAGTAGTATAAAAAATATAAAATAAAAATAAAAATTAATATATTAGGCCAGTCTGGAAGGCTCTAAGGCCAAGCTTTTGAATTAGAGCCTGAGACCTTTTTATTAAACGAGCTTTTATACGAGTCCAAACCTGATTCCAACAATCAATTTTAAACATGTAAACTCAAGCTTTCACGAGCCAAGTCAAAAGCCTTGTTTGTTTACCACCCCTAAGTCCATCCACGCATGGAAGCAATTCTCAAAATCTAAAGAGTTGTTTTGCACCATTCACTTTTTAAAGCATGTATTATCAACATCAAATACTTATTAAAGATCATGTACCAAAAAAAAAAATACTTATTAAAGAATTTTTTTTTTTGAATTGTTTCTCAAATAATACAAATAATTGTTGACACACAATCATGCTTCGGATTGTAACAAATTATTTCCTCAATGAGAAAATTTAAATTAAATCAAATCCAATAAAAAATATATCCCAAATTTCAACCCCTAATGTGCCATGATTAGCGTCACATGCTAAATAATATCATAAAAAATTATATTGAAACACTAAATCACATAAGTTCTTTTGGTATCTCCATTTGTTTGTTTTTTTCTTTAAGAAAAATAAATGGCTGAAGGCTAACGAAATTATTACGGTGCTCTTGAAATACTATTCAATGGGACGAGCCAATAAAAAACTGATAAAAATATTTTAAAAAAAACTGATAAAAATGGTAATGTGTACGTAGGAGAGAGATGAATTTTTTTTTTAATCCAAATATCACATTTTTTTTATGAAAGTGCTCCTTGAGTCACAAAAAGTTCTCTCGAAGGCTAGAGTGGAGGAGGGAATATCGAAAAAAGAAAAAGGATATTGCATATTCCGTATAAAATTTCTGTTAAAAGCTTACAAGTAATTGATTTGTCATCAATCTATAGATTTGGTATAGCCACGCAATAGGGACATGTGGTAAATTGGTAATGAATCATGCAGTAATTCCGGGACCTAAAGCGCAAATCATCGTGTTAGCGCCTACGGATTTTCCATGTATGGTTTTATCCTGGACATGAAAAGACGATCTTGTCCTCAATTAAAAAACACAAACTGAGTCAAATGAGCTGCCACAATAAAATCGAAAGCCCATTTACATTTGCATCCATGTTCTGTTGTTCACTCTCCTCTTTCTCCATTCCCTATCTCTCTCAAAAAGAAACTTTCTCTCTCTACAAATTGAAGCTTCCGCGGTAGAAAAACAAACAAAGCACAAAAACAGTATTGCACATTCATTACTGATCGAGGTTAGGACTTCATTTTTTTTTTCTTCCACTCTTCCATTCTCGATTTCTTCGATTATTTATACGCAACGATTGTAGAAAATTCTATGCATCTTATATAAGTTGGTTTTAGCTTAGACCGCGTTACTGCGTTGAAATGCCCAACCTTATGATCGGGACAGTTAATTACCGTAGCGGTTTAAGAATTTTTTTTATTATGTAAATATATTTTTAAATTTTTTACGTTTTCGTACTTTGTGTATAATCGATAGCTTCGGCTGGCTCAATCTATTTTCTCTTTTAGGTTTGTCTTTGGTGATTGATTATGTAACTTTGTGGTTTGGTTTTAAATTCACATTGAGTTTTCTGCGAATTCGATATCAAATATAGCTTTGACTGGTGAAGGAGTTTGAGCTTCGGTTGGATGCAAGGGTTATCGAAGCATGATTGCAAGAAACAAAACTGGTGATAGACTGTGGAATTGAAGAATTCAGTATACCGTTAGTTGAGATATTGAGAAGACTCTTGAGGCTAGTTAATCTCATTCCATAGCAGGAAACATTTGTCAGCAAATTGAGTAGCGATTGGCTGATAGAAGTTATTTTGGTAAAAAGGATAGGACGTAGATTGGGAAAAAGCTTTAATGTAGTTTAGACCTCAGTTCAGCAAATCATTATTTTGGTTTTTTATGTTATTTGTACATAATATCGTGGTCTTATTTGAGGTAGTCTTGTTTCTTGTGGTTCAGTGAAATTATTGGTTCCCCTGGGCTCAGTTTTGACTTTTAAGGTGCTTTTTAGTATTTGTTTTTGTTATTTTGCATTGTATAGACTGTACACTATATTCGCAATCTGTCTCAATATGTTTTTTTTTAATTTGATTTTGGATATACTTTGGATTGTTTCTATATTTGCAAAGAATTAGATGCACTACATTTATTTAATCTCAAAACTCCTGGGCTATGCCTAATGCATTGGTATAGCGGGCACTTTTGTGGAAACTGACAGTTCCCTTGAGACTTGAGGGTTCTTCTGTACAGTGAACTATTGGAATTGTTTTATGATGAACTATTAGGATTGATGAACAAATTGTTAACTGTTCAATTATGGTTGTGGCTTTAATAATTGTGGATATATTTCTTTTGGTCTATTGGTAATGGGGATAGATTTTGAAGCGCCTAGAGACAGAAGGTGGGTTGTTTCTGATGTTTGCTATCTTGTTATTGGGTTTAGTGAGATGAATTTGTCGGAGACATTTTGAGACATTTTTTGAAATTTAAATGTGTGTGAATTAGTAGAAGTTTTACGGTTGATAGTTGAGGCATACGAGTCTATTCTTGATTCTCCAACAAAATAACTTCTAACATAAGGTCAAGGTGTTAGATCTGGATTCCCTTTTGTAACACTTGTGAACTACAGAAATTATTCAATTGAGTTTACCGATTCTTCATTTTGCTAATCACTTCTAAATTTAAATTGTATATATCTTATGCCATATGACTTATGTATGGTTGAAGCAAATCATTTAATTTAGTATAGCAACTTTACATTTTCTTCAATTTACTCCTGGATGTGCTATTTATGCTATGTGATATATCATTGATGTACTGTCATAGTTTCGGCAATGCACCGCGTGGGTAGTGCTGGGAACACAAACAATTCAACTCGCCCTCGCAAAGAGAAGAGATTAACGTATGTGTTGAATGATTCTGATGACACAAAGGTGAACTCGTTATTTCTTTATTTATTTGTTCCAGGAAAATGAACAAGTTTCATGTTTATTTTTTGTAATGTACATCTTTATCCCTACAAATCTTTTCTTGGATATTTGCATATAAACCTGGCAACTAGATGAGATCGATTGCTTCATTCATAAAGTTAATAAATTCATAGATTTTTCACTTAGTTGGATGAAAATCTATTTGAAGTGGTATTCCTATTTTTCTCTATCTTTCAACAATAGATCCTTTGGTTGAGTTCTTGTTTTTCGCATAATTGTTTTTATTTACCCACTATTTTACTTATAATCAGTTAAAGTTTCATCAATAGTTTGTGTCACTTTGGTGTCTGAATTGTTTTGGCTAGGTACTACATTTTGTTCATAAAGTGCATGTAATAGATGCTACTTTTGCATCAATCTTGCATGTTTTAGTTGGAAATTCTTTATAATTTGAAATTTTTCTTTCTTAGTTGGTCTATCTACATTCTCTTGAAAGTGGGTTCTTTTCCGCAGCATTGTGCAGGCATAAATTGTTTGGCTGTACATAAGTCTGCTGTATCTGATGGGTCTGATTATCTCTTTTCTGGGAGCCGTGATGGCAAGCTAAAACGGTGGGCACTAGCTGAGGATGCAGCGACATGCTCTGCTACCTTTGAATCTCATGTTGATTGGGTAATTCTTTTATATGTATATATGTGTGTGTATATAATAATTTTTATTATTTTTAAAACTTTTTCCTAGGATGGATAGTTACATGGATTTTATGTTAATTATGCATGTAATCTTCTTGCTTAAACACTTATGTGCAAAATATTTCTCATTCTTGGGACGTATGTAACGAATTATTTGGGCCCCTTATATGAAGTCTGATTGAGATGACTTTATTTTTATTAATTTCTAGTCTTTTATCTACAAAGGTGGTCTGCAGCTTTTGAATATGGATATAAATTTTTATTTATTTATTTTTTATTTTGTAAAGTATTTAATTATGCATGTAATTTTTAATTGTCTTTGGTGTCTTTATTTTATTTTATTAGTAGGTCAGTTCAAAATATTCAAAACTACTAATGAGATTTGTTGTAATACTCTTCAATAGTCACTGAATTCTTGAACTTCTCTTGACTGTTGATTAATCATATTTCATTTTCTTGCCATGTAAATATGATATTTATTTTCCTTTAAAATAACCTCTTTTTTTGGGTCTAGTTTTATATTACTAGAAATTCCAGTTACTAGTTTCTTGAGATCTAGCCAATCTTTCACTGTGTCTGTCAATTTTCTTGAGTCTAGAAACATTGTGCAGCTTATATATTTTTGGTTTAATTCTAAGATCCTGTGAGTGTTTACATGCTACGTTATTTGGGAATGGAAATAATGAACTCTGCATACAAATAAAACAAGATATCCACACAATTTATGACACATGCATAACAGCATAAGTTACAATTAACTATATGGAAGTTGCTTTTCTATTTTGGCAGGTTAATGATGCAGTTCTTGTAGGTGATAGTACACTTGTTTCTTGTTCTTCAGATACGACACTTAAGGTTTGTTTATTGTTAGTTGTTATTTTGTTGTAATTAATCCTTGCTCTTCTGATATGATAGCAATACTGATTTAATTTTTACTCCTGTTTTTCTATTTGGGCTATTGTGTGTTTGTACCAGACATGGAATGCCTTGTCCAATGGAACATGTACTAGGACGCTCCGCCAACACTCAGATTATGTTACTTGCCTTGCAGCAGCTGAAAAAAATGTAATGTACTTCAAACTTTCCGTGCTTCCTATTAAGTGCATCAAGAAAAAGATTCATCTTCTTGTTTTTATGGATTCAACATCAAATATGATGTATAGTTTGATTGAATTTAAAGTTTGTATCTTATCCAATCCATTTTCTGATCCTTTAATAGTGTCGTGAATTTTAGAGCAATATTGTTGCCTCTGGTGGCCTTGGTGGGGAGGTTTTTATATGGGATCTTGAAGCTGCACTTGCTTCAGCTGCAAAGTGCGATGATGCTATGGATGATGATGCTTCAAATGGTTTCAATGGTTCTGGAAACTCATTACCAGTGACAAGCTTACGTACCATCAGCTCAAGCAATAGTATATCCATGCACACTACTCAAACTCAAGGATATGTTCCAATTGTTGCCAAAGGCCATAAGGAATCTGTTTATGCATTGGCAATGAATGAAGGTGGAACACTTCTTGTCTCTGGTGGTACAGAAAAGGTACAATGTGCTATTCATGTTCGCATGTATGTTCTAACTTTTTGTGGCTTCTGCTATTACCTTTGGAATTTAAGAGGCGTTAAGTCTGAATTATATTGCATTGAATTTCACTAGCTAGATCGTGGGATGCTTGTCTATAACCTAAAATCATGGTTTATTTTTGCTTTCCTTTTTTGTTTATCCAGGTTGTTCGTGTTTGGGATCCAAGGTCTGGATCAAAGACTTTAAAGCTAAAAGGGCATACAGATAACATCAGGGCTCTGCTTCTGGATTCTACTGGCAGGTTTGTTGAGTGGGACACATAATTTTTAGCTGACATTTATATTTCTGAGAGTGTTCTACCTCCCTTGTGCCTAAAGTATTTCTTCTACTCCAGACAAGATACTGTTTACAAACATTGGAGTTAGGAACTTGTTTTTTTCCTTCTCTTTATTTATGAGTTTTTTTATCATCATAAAAATTCCCCTAATCTCTTCCAGCTTTGGTCTTTCTCATATGGTATTTCTATATATTGTTACAACATGTAAATGACTAGACACATAAATGACAGAGTGAACCTCAATTTTCGTCCTCCAAAGATACAACCATCATCACTTCAATCCTCAAAAGTTTTTTGTTATCAACTTATGCTCTCAATAATTTAAAGTGTCATTATGTTGGTCCTTTTGTTACCCTCTGCTGGAAGGCTGTCTAACAGACACTGATGCGGCCCATTATCTACTTGGAGATGGACATGTTCATTATCTACTTGCCTTGTTAGCCTATTAGACAGCCTTAAAACGGATGGTGACCAAATGACCAAAATGATGGCTCTTTAAATTATTGACAGACTACATTGATGACAAAAATCTTTTGAGGATTTAGTTGATGATGCTTGTATCTTTGGAGGATGAAAATGAGGTTTACTCTAACACAATATTTTCATTGGCAATGTCACAGTCGATTGCTATTGAATGAGCAATAGTATACTATATGAAATGCTGTTTAGTTTCCTTCGCCTCGCCATTGCATATTTTTATTGCTTTTATTAGGTTAGTTCGAATTAAGTAATACTTTTTTCCTACAACAGCTGAGAGATTTTTATCATTTATTGTCACAGGTTTTGTTTATCAGGATCTTCGGACTCTATGATAAGGTAGTGTGTTTTTTTTAGTTAATAAGGTAATGCATGCGTATGGTGTTATAATCATTTCTATTTGTTGTATGGTTGAATAATCTCACTTACTTTCCTCATAGGCTTTGGGATCTTGGTCAGCAGCGTTGTGTGCATTCTTATGCAGTTCATACAGATTCTGTTTGGGCTCTTGCCAGCACTTCAACGTTTAGTCATGTTTATAGTGGTGGCAGAGACTTTTCAGTGAGTGCAGCTATCATTTAAAAAGCAAAAATAGTTTTTTTTTTCTAATTATTATGACTTAATTTATGTGATGTGTCCTTGTTCTGTTAACTTCTGAAGCTCATCTTCTGTTGTCCTCTTTTATTTGTCCAGTTATACTTGACAGACTTGCAAACGAGAGAGAGTGTTTTGCTTTGCACAGGGGAACACCCTATTCTTCAATTGGCTTTGCATGATGATAGCATATGGGTTGCATCAACGGACTCTTCAGTTCACAGATGGCCTGCTGAAGGACGCAACCCTCAAAAGATTTTCCAAAGAGGAAATTCATTTTTAGCTGGAAATTTGTCCTTTTCGAGAGCAAGGATTTCGCTAGAGGGATCTACCCCTGTATGTTATATTTATTTCTCAAAAGTTCAACCTACTAATTTTATTATTTTATCTACCAAGTGTTGTATTGGTCTGAGAACTCATAATACTGGTTGCACATGTACATGTCAAGGTGAAACATTTGTTTACGCACCCTCTTTAGTGTTTCCTTTTTGGGGATATGATGAGATTTGTCTTCCAATAAGTTTCCGTTTGAAAAATAAATGTTCTTTTGGCTCTTTCTGTTCTGGAGTACTAATAGTTTTTCTTTCTGTTGCCAAATTTACAAATATCAACAGGTTCCTGTATATAAACAGCCTACCTTAACTATTCCTGGCACCCCTGCAATTGTACAGCATGAAGTTCTAAATAACAAGAGGCATATCCTGACGAAGGTAATGATGGTGTTTTCTGTTCATGTCAATATGCTGAATGTGTTAATTGTCATCTATTCTGTTATTAAGTTGATAATCTTTCTGTCTGTTATCTTCTGAGCTTATAAATGTCACTCTTTGTAGGATACTTCTGGTTCAGTGAAGTTGTGGGAAATTACAAAAGGTGTTGTAGTTGAAGATTATGGAAAGGTGAGCATTGGTTGTACTTTATTTGGTAATCTGCATAACCGTATCTTGTTAGGGAAGAAGCGTAGTAAATTAGTAATACTGATTATTATTTGCGAATTTCAACTATAGCTGATAGGGCTTGTTTTTTAGTTCAAAATAGCTCATACTTTACATGTGAACTATATAGGTTTCACTCGAGGAGAAAAAGGAAGAGCTATTTGAGATGGTATGATAATTGATATTCATCATCATCAATTTTATTGTTAATTATACTTGTTTTAATTATATTGGTTTGTTAGTTCTGACTGTTTTTTATTTTCTTTCCATACTGCTTCAGGTTAGCATTCCTCCTTGGTTCACAGTGGATACCAAACTTGGAAGTTTGTCTGTACATTTGGACTCTCCCCAATGCTTTTGTGCAGAGATGTATTCAGCAGAGCTTAACATTGGAGGCAAGCCTGAAGATGATAAGGTAAATGAATATATTCTCGTAAGCAATTTACTTGCCCTTCTCTTTAATTTCTTATCATAATGCTTTTGTTCCTATTCTATTGATAGGAATGCGAGAGAATTCACACCGAAATAGGAACAAGAACAGTGTATATTGTATTATAATCCTGATATCAGTGGGATAACCGGTGTCGTGTGAGGAATTACAGTAGAAATAGAAAAGAAATCGATAACAGAGCTTTTGAAAGGCTCTGCATCCCTAATCACTTCCCAATACATTCAATGTACCCCAAACATCCCTTTCCCCTCTCTTCTTATGTTTCCCTCTCCCTTAGCTGATACGACATCTTTTCCCGCGCAAAGCCAAGTCACACTTCCTTGGCTAGTCTAGGAGTTTAATGCTCTACGCCCCTCCTGGAATACACCTTAATAATGTGTGGTTTCCTAACATTGGTATGTTATAACTGGCTGTAACAATCAATATCCAGTTTACACAACTGCCTACATCGTTCATTCTCCTTTTTTTTTTTTTTTTGCTAGTTACTATTGGCTATAATGATTAATAATGTCAAGTTCATACAGTTGTTTAGGTAATTCATCTTCATGCATGTGACATTCGTTACTGTCAGTGAAATGTAATGATCTTCCTATTTTACTCTGTTCTTGCTTTATCTGAAATGATGCTTGCAATGCTACTATTATCCTGGACATGGTAGCATTTATTTAAAAGTTATATTTCTGTGGAGGTGCTCTTTTATCTGCATCTACAGTTTTCTAAAACGCTCACTTATTATGATCAACTACAACCAAAACTGGTTCTTGTTTGTTTCTTTAAATATATGGAAGCAGCCTAACGTCTCTTCCTCTTTACAGGTTAACTTGGCTCGAGAAACACTGAAAGGGCTCTTGGCTCATTGGTTGATAAAACGAAAGCAAAAAATGGGAACTCCAGCTCCTGCTAATGGGGAATTATTACCTGGAAAGGATATTGCTACTAGTAGAAGTCTTACACATTCAAAAATAGAGGTTGATGGAAGTTCTGAGAATGATGCTATGGTTTATCCTCCATTTGAATTCTCAGTTGTTTCCCCTCCTTCCATTGTTACTGAGGGAACTCATGGAGGTCCATGGAGAAGAAAAATGACTGATCTAGATGGAACGGAGGATGATAAAGACTTCCCCTGGTGGTGTCTGGACTGTGTATTGAATAATCGGTTACCTCCTAAAGAAAATACCAAGTAACGTTTTGGCTTCAAGTAAATTTTTATTCTCTCGAAATTGTTGCATGTAACCCATGCTTGTAGTAGCAAGGAAGAAAGTTTGGTCTTGACAGTTTACGTATCTTGTATAGCATGATTAACTGATTCTTTACTGAATCTACTATAGTTATTATTATTATAGCTCAACGTCAAATCTTTGGCATGTTTTGATGATTTGAAGTTGCTGTTCCCCTTGTTCTCTGAATGAGAACTTAACTGTTGATAGTTATATGATAGTCACTGTTTCAGCACATTGTCTCTTTTTCTCTAAAGAAGCCATAGTAGTTTGCTTCCTATAAGTCCTGTGGTATCTGTTGCTTGGTTCTATGTATTTCTCTTAGTATCTTTAAACAATTTTTTCACTTGTGATAGTTATAGTCATAAAAAGATTGAAAATGTTTTCTTACTTTTCTAGACTTGAAAACAAGTGGAAAACATTACCTATGGATTTGAGTTTCTTATCATGATTGCAATTTTATAATGCTTAAAATCTTTATGATCATCATTTATCTTGGCCAGTTATATAATCTCTTTAATATAAATTCTTTTGTGATAACCTCTGCAGATGCAGTTTCTTTTTGCATCCATGTGAAGGTTCTACTGTCCAGATCCTCACGCAAGGGAAACTAAGTGCCCCTCGTATACTAAGAATTCATAAAGTAAGTTTTAACATTTCATAGTAATTGACGAATGGGAAATAATAATTTCATGTGCTTTCTCAGTCTTTCTGCATTTCTATATGAAAAGAAAAGGTTCTGTGGGAAGAGGACGATGTTCTGTATCTTTGTCCTTGAATCTGTGAATTGCTTTTAACGTGCATATCCTTGAATTTGCTAGTTAAAGTCCGTTTGGATGACTTTTGAAAAAAAATGACTTTTATGCATTATTTTTTAGATTTTTTTTTTTCAAAAGCCAAAGTTAATTTTCTTTTGGATGTAGTATTTAAAAAGCATTTTTATGTAAAAAAAGTTGTTTGGATTTTAAAATAAAAAAACACATTTATATATAAAATTATTAAAAAGAATATGTATAGTGTTTTTTTGCTCGCATAATATTTGAATGAAAAGCAATCATAAGCTTAATAATATCATAATTAAATTGCGATTATAGGTTTTTATTTGTGAACATCTTGATATTATTTAATAAGAGAATTTTTGTAAAATTTCTTAATTTATTATTTATACAAAGACAATAACTAAAAAATTAGGAAATAAATGATACGAAACAATAAAAATTCATACCACTAATGAAAAATAATTTTAACTCGAAGTCATATTATAGCGTATTATAGTCATAAAAATATTATCAGTTTCACAATAGCTTTCCCAAAGCTAACGACACACTCATGCTGACAATTTATTCCTAATATTATCTCTCGTTTCTTCCATTAATCTAATCAATTATGCACTTGGCCATTCCCTTTCATGTTCTCTTCGATCATCATATTTGGCTTCAAACACACCGATATTCTTAAATATTCTTAGTACATCTATATCATGAGAATCCTTTCTCTGAATATAATTATGGAGAGCAAAGGCTGCCCATATGATAGCAAATTGAGTTTTGAGCCCAAAGTTGATCATGTTCTAGAATATCCTCCCCTTTGCTTTGCAAACTCCAAAGGTTGTTTGAATGATACTCCTCAAACACTAATGATGACAATTGAAGGCTTTCTTTTTTGATCCAAAAGCTGGGGCCAACTTGAATTGAGGAAGATGATATCTTGTGTTTCTATATATACCTAAAAATCCTTTGAAACTATGATTCCAGAGTCAACAAGGAAGTATTTACCTATAATAAAAGGTCATTTGAAACAATTATATATTATATAGTTGAAACAACTACATATGAATTATTTACATTAACATTGAATAAATATATGACATACTTTCCCAGTTATAAATGTGGCTGTCTTAAGAGATTCATGAAAATTTTAGTATTATACCCACACCTTTCCCATCCTATCATGCAAATGTAAAGCACATATTAAAGTCAAATTTAGCAAGGACATTCATGGTAGTTATTCCCTTTGTGCCAGTATAAGAAATTTTTTATGCAAGTAATCGTGAATAGCAATTTGAGTGCCATCTATAGCTCCTATCCTATCCTTAAAGTATGGCTCAATATCTTTCATCATCCTTGATAGATTATGGAGCTTCCCTAAACATCATGTTTGGCTTAATGACCTGAAGTCCTATACTTTGAACATATTTTAATGCATGATTAAATTCCCTTAATTTTGTCTCTTCAAGATGGTGAAATCTCTCTCCAACTTCTCTATAAGTGCTCCATGACCAATCATTTACAAAAACATGGCCACAACTTCCTCAACGCCAACATGTTGTGTTGGTTTTAATCTATGGTTTTGAATCATGTCACTCACCAAACTACTAAACACATCCTTTCTCTTCTGAAATTGTTCAAAAATATATATTTTCATTCCCTCTTTTCTGTTCTGCCAAACATACATGTCCTGAAAGAATTGATGTTTTGTTCTTTGTTTGTCTACATGTAGTGAACAATAATGTAAGATAGATATAACAATTAGTTTAGTTGCTGGTAGTAACATATCCTTCTTCACTTGATCTATTTGTATTTTTATTCGTTTGAATTAATTCATTTGTGCTATCTGGGTCAAATATATTAGACATCCTATTTTAACAAAAATAAATTGTTATGAAACAACAAAAATAAATTGTGTTATGAAACAATAATCATTATTGACTAGAACTAAAGTAACTTCATTTCGATAATTCTAATATAAACCAAATTATGATTTCAATATCACATAGAAATCAAAGTACAAGTTCAATATCAAATATAAACCCTAGTTCAAATTCAGCATCAGACATAAAACCAAGCACGAGGTCAACATCAAATATAAACTTAAGTACAAGTTGTATCTTTTTTAAGCCTTCAATCGTAAACATGCTGAGAAAATCGATAGCATTGTGAGATTCATTTTCTCTATTATGGATAAATGCCTTTCTATTATCTTTTAGGATAAAGATTAGAGTGACCAATTTGTATGTAGGGTTGCCTTCTACTAAACCTCGCATGTCTTTGGTTCGTATGTATGTGACAATTGGTCAATATTATCCATAGATGGAAAAAGCGATGCAATATAGCGCAATACCGCATCCGTAGCGGGTAATGACACTTAGCTGTAACAAATCACACGCAATGCTGCGGTAGTAGCGGCTGATATTCGCAGTAAAGTTTTGCAGGAGTAGCGGCGCGATTTCTGTGCTACTGATGGAGAAAGTTAAATTTTTTAATGTTAAGGGTATTATTGTTTAATATTTTTAGGGTAGAAAAGACTATTACCCCTTTTATTTCTGAACCCTAGTTTACAATTTCATCACTCCAAAATATCGATCTATAGTGCTGCCTCTGTTTCGTTCTCTCTCTCTTTCACCCATTTTCTAGCTTCAATCTCTCTCTCACCTAATTTTTGGTAAGTCTATGACGGTACAACCCCTTTGACAGCGGCAAAACCTCATCTTACAGATTCTGTTTCGATCTCCAGCATCCTTCAATCTCTCTGACTCTTTTTCTATATTTATCACCAGCGTGAAGGAGCAGTTCTCTCTCTCTCTCTCTCTATCATTTTGTGGCAATTGAAGTCCAAAAACAAACTTTATTTATTCTGATCTCCATAGGGTATTACTATTATTAATATATATATATATATATATATATATATATAAATTTGAAACTCTTAGTATATTATTAATCTGTTTTTATATATATTATAGAATATATTATTAATTTGAATATATTATCGATATGAATATATAGTAATATATTATTATTTTATATTGAATGATTATAAATGATAAGACGGTCAGACCCCCTCCATCACAATTATATTAATGCATTAATATTATATGTGTAGTATAATTTAAGTATATCATTTATGTGGACTTTGCTGTATTGGCTATATTGCTATCCGTTATACCGCTATAGCATTTTTGAGGTTGGCTGCTACCAACCATTACCTGCTATCATATTAATAACTATGATATTATCGAGGATCTAATCAGGGAAGTGTTTAATTTTTTGCTATTCCTTGCCCTTTCTCTCCCTTCCTACCTTTCTTCCTTTTTTTTGGTTCATAGTTATGTACACTTGGCCACTCACTATGGTCCAAGGGATGTTCATTAGTATCCCTTTCTCTTCTGTTCATTCCAAACCATGCTTGCTTTCATCAACTAACTCATTATCAATTGCTTCTGCATATGAAGAAGTATGCGGTTGCGGTATAAATAAGTATAACTAGTAGCAACCACATTTTTGAAACATCATTCCATTGAAGTCTAGAATTTTGGTACTTTATCCTTCCAATTCAAATATTTTGAATTCTCTTATATTAAAAGTGAACACTGAATCAATAAGTAAAACATTTAGTAATGAAGATCTAAGATTTCATTTAATATTGTATTCAATTGAAAATACATATTTTGCCATTGGCTGTTCACCACTACTGCAGTGGTCTTCAATGGATACATGAAGCACCGACTCCGACACGGCGTTTTCGATACGTTCCCGATACGTTCTCGATACGACCGTTAATTAGTCGATACGATACAATACGTTTCCGATAAGCGTATCGGATACGTTGGAAAAAAAAATTCGGAGTATCGGTGCTTCATGTACCATCTAAGACCTGTTTCCTTTTCAACCATCCTTGCCCACATGCCAAATTCTTGTTTCAACGGATCCTATTTATTTTTCAAATTTTTCTTATAATTTTTTCCAATATTGTTATTAATTTGTTGACTAAGTTGTTCCAATCCTCTTTAGTAAAATGCATGTGAGGACTTCAACACAAACTTGAAAGGAAATTTCAATGTTGGAATCATTACACCTTGCTTTCTCAGAACTATTACTAACATTCTCTGACTGAGCTAGCTTCAGTGCCATTCTAGGAAAAAGAAAGTAAAGGTTTGCTTTGTATCGGCTAACATTTTATCCTGAATCAACTTATAAACTCAAACAAAACAAACAATAAAAAGCAGTATTTTTGCTTTTTTCTAGCTTCTTCTTGGGCATAGAAGCCCCATCCAAACCAACTCTTAATCTATTCCATATGCAAAAAAACTAGCAGTCAGGACATTGTTTTCTTCTTGTAGGGATGCTCTGCAATGTTTTTGGCATGCATTTCCCCTGTAGTTGAAACATGTCTACATTAGTTGTTTAATAAGTGTCTCCTTTCCTTTGTTCGTTCTTGATGGGGCATGGAATATGAATAGTGGGCTATGGAAAAAGTAGTAGTGTTGTCAATGGTGTATGGTGGCAAGAAACACACATAAAAAGAGTGAATACAAAGAGGGGAAAAAGGTTGTACATGCCATATTTGCAGAAGAAATTGTAAAGAGAGAGACAGATAGACAGAGGAATAAGAAGTTCTGTTGGCAGCTAAAGAAATAACGGGGAACAAAAGAGATTAGAGGAAGAACATACAGGAAAATCATGTGACTGAGGATTTCGGTCTGCTCTGTAATTTTATTTTTTTTGGTTGAGGTGCAGCGGAGGGCAAGCCTTGGAGCAGCGGTAAGGTTACTCCTTGTTACAGGAAACAAAAATGCAACTGTAAGATTGTGTAAAATTGACTCTCACCCGTCGTAAGCCGGGAAGCCTTGTGTTTTGGATTTGCCCCTTTTTTTAGGTTGGGGTGCAGGGTTGGTGGAGGGGGAGGAAGCTCAATGGAACCCTCTGTTGAGAGCCCAAGTTTCAGATTTGTTTGTCAGGAATGAACTGATGTTCTGCAGTGTTTTTCTTCCAATTTATTGCTAAGTTTTGTCCGAGAGAACTGACAGACATATTTATGTCCACAATTAAGAAGCCCAAGAGGAAAGAAATTACCATCCACATCCTCACTGAGGTGCCCCTTATGCCAAACATGCCACATGATGGAGGTTTTAAGGCGGGAGTCTCCTTTGCCATGGCATCTGCCGTTGACAATACTGAAAGGAAATGTGGACATATATCATATTGTTACAGATTGGGAGTTTGTTGTAAATTTGTAAATAGGATATTTATTAGTAAGTTGAATGTGTGGATTACTTTTACTGATTTGGAATTGTTTGGGATATTTACTAATTTAGGATTGCTTGGATACCCTGTGCGATTTATACTGTCAATCTATCATTTGGAATTTAAATTGTTATTCTATAGGGATTCTCTTAATTCTTGCTTTTTAGTCCTTCCCTTCCCTTTCTTATTCATGAAGAATGTCAATGGGATAAGAATATCAGGATATAGGAGTTTTAAGATTATGGAATATACATATTGTTAGAGAAGTATATAAACCTTTGATGGGTCTTCACTTGATAGCTTAAACTTTTGGGTTGAATTGGTTATTTACATAGTATCAAAGCCTCGTGTCCCGGGTTCGATTCTCACCGCCTCCCATTTTCTCTTGTGGAATTTCTTAGCACGGGTAGGTGGGTCTATGCATTATCCACCTTTCATGCCCAGTGGGCTCTCGTATAAGGGGGCGTGTTAGAGAAGTATATAAACCATTTATGGGCCTTTACTTGATAGCTGAAACTTTTGGGTTGAATGAGTTCTTTACATATATCTGGATGATTTAAAAGTTAATTATAATTGGGGTATCATAGTAATTTTGGGTTATGAAAGTATTTAAATAATGACGTTTATTTTTATTTGAAATTATGGTTACTTGGATATCAAGTTCGGCTGTACTATTTTTACATATTTGGGTTGTCAGACTTTGATTAAGAATTTAAGATTATTATGTCCTCTTACATTCTATTATTCTATTTCTCCCTTATCTCTCTGTCTCTCTCTCTATTATCCACTCCCCTCTCCCTGTTGTCCTTTGCACCCTACATCATTTTCTCTATGTTCGTTGCTCCAAATCTCTACATTTTACCCTCTCATTCTGTTTATTGTACATCACTCCCCCTTAAAACTGTTTTACGCTTTTTATCTTGTATTCTATGTCTAATGAATTGTGCATTAATTTTGGTCATTTATTGAAATAGAATACTGAACAGAAGTGAGGACACTAGATTTTTTGCCTTTTTGTCATTTTTGACATGCACTCTAAGGTCAATAGATTAAACTTCGATGATCAGTTAATGACAAGCAAAGCGGTATTTTCGGGTCATTTCATGTTTGTTAGAGTATAATATAAACCATTAAAGAGGCCCTCACCTAATAGCTTAAGCTTTTGGGTTGAATTGGTTCTTTACAATGTTTATATCTTTTATTATCGAAAAGACTTATGTGGGAGGGATTGAGGAAGAGTAAGTTAGCATCCTCATCTCTAGACTATAGTGAAGTGCAGTTAAGACATGTATAATTGAAGAAATACTGGTAGGATTTTTGAGTCCTGTTATGATGACAAACTTCAATATTTTTTGGTTGCTTGATTCTGTCACGTCATTGAATTATATTCGCAGAATTATGTGTTGGGCAATCGACCATGATCATACTTTCCAAAAGTATTTATTGCTTTGTTTTTGGATGGATTCCGGAGGCATATTTGTCCTATGTCGATGATGCATTTCAGAAAAATCAACTGAGCTTCTTCCTCACCTTTTATTTTAATTTTTAATTTTTTTTGTCTAGGTTATTAATTATGTTGTTGAAAAGTTGGTGCTTGACAAGCCTATGGATAGTGTCAATGGCGATGGTAATTTCCCCCCTGGACTTGCTGGGTCACAGTTACAAAACCAAGCAGTTGGGGATGGATCTTTCCGGTCTGGGTTTAAGCCTTGGCAAAAGATAAGACCTTCTATTGAGATATTGTGCAACAATCAGGCAAGTTTATACTCTTCAATTCATGCAAATGCCTTTTAGAATCTGTTAGCTGTCCTTATTGCCATTTTTGGTTACCCATTATTGTGTTTTCTGCAAGTCATCAAAGACATAATTCCCTCAGACTTCCGAACTTCCTTTGACATTTTGGGTTATAATTGTAACGTTACAACTGTGATCAGCTTCTAGAATCTATAATGCAGAATCAATTGATAAAATCTTGGTCAGTAGCTTTGAAAGAATTTTGGCCTTATTTTCCCGAATTAATATCAGTTCATATACCTTATACCTATTATACCTTGAAATGGTCAGTTAAAAAATGTGTTCCAATTCAACAAATAATATTTCTTTTAGTAGAAACTTTATTCATCATGTTCTAGGTTACCTTCACTTGATGTGATGAGATGAACAGACAATAATACTTGAAAGAACTCTGTTTTCAGACTTAAATGCTTAATGTACTGCGATGCCCTTTTAGAAAATTTATTTCTAGATACTACATGCTCCTAATTGAAACCTTTAAACAATTATATTGAAGTCTTAAAATAGATCACTGTCATTGTATTTCATCCGTAGTTTTAACTGGGTTCTTCCAACTTGTTTCTGATGTTCTAAAGAAGTTTTTTAACTTATGTCTTCTAATATGTTTGATGATCAAAGTACAGTGCTCTTGTATATTGTTTTACCGTAATTTACTGGAAGGAATTCAGTTTGATTTACAATAGTCCTTGATTTAATGTGATATTCTGTTTATACGTTAATTCTTCGGAAGTATTATGCATTCAGTCAACTGTTTTGATTATTTCCAGGTATTGTCTCCTGAAATGAGCTTATCCACAGTTCGAGCTTATGTATGGAAGAGAACAGATGACCTGGTCCTAAATTATAGAGTGGTTCAAGGGAGGTGACTACAAATAGCACTTGCGTCAGAGGTGGGATAGTATCTTGAGCTTTGCTTAGATCTTCTCAGCTACAATATGATATTAATGCTTTCATGAAAAATGTTCCTGCAATTTTTATGTATCCTACTGCCAACTTGAAGGGGGCTGGTTTTGTAGGATGGTATTCTGTATTTCTTTTTTGTTGATGCCAATGTTGCCTCCCAAATTGAGAAGGCTTTGTAGCAGTTTGTGCAGTTGGGCTGCTGAGAAAAGTAATCGGAGGTTGTAAAACCCATTCTTTATCAGTAAAATTTACTCTCAATCTGGATGAAAATTTTGCAAGTTTTGCCAGTGTCTGAATGGTGATTATTGGTATCACAAATAACTTCTAAAGGCTTTGGACGGATTATGTATAATTTGCTTCTTATCATGCTCGTTTCTTCTTTTTTGATTGATGCCTCAGCAAGGTTTGCAGACTTCATTGTTATTAATACTTGCAGGTTTTCTTGTGATTGTGTAAAACACTTGGAGCATTGATTCTTCTGGGGAGCCTGCTTTGATCGGTGGCATTGTAAGCGGTTTGTGTATTCTATACTCATTGATCACCAAATTTAGTGGCATTCCTCAAACCTGCTTCGATATATTTTACGTCATCAGAGAGCTGTTACTGCGAATTTTGAATTATATCTAGCTGGCGTGCATACTTTCACCGGACATGATGGAGTCATTGATCGTCTTTGTCTGGCAAGATGATGGTTTTCTATTTGATTCTGTTGATAATTAGTGGGGATCATATGGGATGTTTTCCAGGAAAGCGGTAGTAAATTTAGAGATGACAACGAAAACATTGTACATTTGAATTGTGCGTTAAATACCTAGCCATAGAAATTCTGTTCTGAAGGTGTTTCTTCAGATTCTTACCCGTTCTGTTTGTTTTTTAATTTAAAATTTTGTTAATTGTTATTTGCAAATAATATTATTTTCATTTGTTCAAATTATACACTCGTGTCACTCTTTCCGTGGGAATGACTGTATTCAGTCTGGTGTCTGGTTGCGTCGTGGTTTATTTGTTGAATCTGTAGTGTACGAGTGTATTTACGATCACTTATACTGTTTTCTTACCATTTCCGAAGTAACTGGAGTTACATCTATTTTTCTATTTCCATGCAAGAGTTCTTTATGTGTTTCCACCCCCTTCCGAAGTAACTGGAGTTACATCTATTTTTCTATTTCCATGCAAGAGTTCTTATGTGTTTCCACCCCCCTTCGAGACCCCGAAAAATGGACAAATTTGTTTAATGCCTTTATTCTAACGTTTATTTGCTGTATCCGGAAATGTGGTTTGGAAACTCGAATAGTACTGGAGTCGAAGAAGTTATATATATATATTACCATTAAAAAATTTACTTTTACAACAAATTTAATCACTGTTAAATTAGAATTAAATTTAATGACTCGGAATTAATTCTTATAAATCTAATTATCACTCATAATTCTCTTTCATCTTTTCGCGCGCTCTCTCTCTCTCTCTCCTCTCTAGATCTTCTAAATTTCACATGAAAAATTGATAAATTTGCCTCTTGCATTTTCTTCAAATCGCAGGTTTGTTTCTTTTCTATTTCCTTATTAGAAAAAAAAAAAAAATACTCCACGTTGTATATAAAATCATAGACGGGCTGCAGATTTATCAGATTATTATTTTAAAACTCTGGGAGTTATGACTCGATATTGGAAAATAAACGAGCAAATTTTAACTTCATTGATTCAACAATTGTGATTATCGATCATTGCTTCAACGATTCCACTGTTCATTCATATTTAAATATTTAAATTGAACCAGTCTTTTGAAATAATAAAACTATAATAAATAAGCTTGTTTTAATAAATGTATTTTTGTTTTCCTAATAGTTTTTGGGTAAAACAGTTCTCGATGAATACCTATGTTCTTTGCTTCATTTTCTTTCTATCCTTATAAACTTAATTATGCTTTAGTAAATTCAAATATCAGAGAGGGATAGTAAAAAGGAAAGAACATTCCCTAGAAATGTGAAAAAACGGATTCAGCAAGAGAGCGTTGAGAACCCAAGAAAAAAGGGAAGAAGTCAGGGAATTGAGGAATATAGATGATTTGAGAGCAATGGTTGTAGAGAACAGCGTGCAGGAGTTTCGGGTGAGGTCAGCAATAGCGAAAGAGACAGGACACACACGCAGAGAGAGAGAGGGTAATAGAGAATTAAGAGTGATAATTATGTTTATAAGAATTGATTATAAGCCATTAAATTTAATTATAATATAATGGTGATTAAATTAGTTGTAAAGGTGATAAAAATTTTTAGTCATAATATATATATGGCAAAATGATTTCTACAGCTGTTGTACCTACAGCAAGCAAGAATCCGCGTCCGGATCCTAGGATACGACAACGGATCCTGAGTTTATTTTTTTTATTTTTTTAAAAAGCCGTGGAACCCACTTTTCTGTGTTAGCTGTAGATAACACTATCTACGGCTGCTACAGAAATGTTAAGCCCTATATATATATATACATATATATATATGGAATAAATATTTCTACAGTCACTTTAGATAAGGTTATCTACAACTATCTCAAAAATTATGTCGTTTTGATTAATAAGGGTATTTCTGTAATTTTAAGTGAATTAATGAAGGGTGCTTCTGTACTTTTATTTATTTTTTTATTATATATATTTTACTGAAACACCCTTTATTAATTCAGCTAAAATTACAGAAACACCCTTCATTAATCAAAATGACATATTTTTTGGGATAGCTAAAATTATTATATACATTTTACTGAAACACCCTTCATTAATCAGCTAAAATTACAGACACTCTTCATTAATCAAAACGACGTAGTTTTTGGTAGCTGTAGATAACCTTATCTAAAGTGGCTGTAGAAATATTTTTTCATATATATATAGTTTCTCTAGAAGATAAAATTATTTTCCACAACCTCAAAATTATATCATTTTGAGGGTTTTACAGGAGATAAAATTATCTCCAACAACCTCTAAATGAGCAAGGTTATAGTTACAACTTTTTTTTCTTACAACCTCTTACAATCATATCTTATCACCGTTGATTTCTACCAATCAACGGTTATTATTTTAACAAATTAAATTCATTAATAAATTTAATTCACAATAAATGATAACTGTTGATTGCTGGAAATCAACGGTGATAAGATATGGTTGTAAGAAGTTGTAAAAAAAAAGATTGTAAGTATAGAGAAATTATTAAAGGATGTTTTGATAAAATTTATAAAACAAAAGTGCACGAGATAATTTTATCTTCTGTTGCGAGAGAAACGAAAAAATATCTCTCTTGTCATAAGAGATAAAATTAATTATCTTCAGTAATCTCAAAACTAAGCCGTCTTGGGGATTGAGAGAATTAATAAAGGATATTTTAAAAAATTTATGTTATTTATGTAAGATCAAATCGTTGGGTTTAATCATTTTCATGCTCCCACAATCTCAAGTGATAAATAAATTACTTTTTATGTATAAAATTATTTGGGCCCTCATTATTCTTGGACTGTTATGAAGGCTTATCCTCTAGTTAAGAAAATGATCTTATCCCTTTATCCTCTAATAATTAGACTGTTTATAGGGTATACTTTGTTGGGATATGGCCTTATTAGTTAGGTCCATAACAAATACTATTTTGCTTCTTCGTACCCTTGTTCCCAAATTCTTTACCTAGCTCGCCAAACAAAAAGGGTAAGAGAAAGGAAAAGAAAAAGGAAAAGGATAGAAGTTCTAAAGGCACAAGAAGTGAGATTTCAGCGGTAGTGTAAGAAATGGATATCGCTATCTGGGATTAATCAGAATATCATAGTTGATAGTCCTAACTAACTTGAGTGCGTAATGGAACAAAAGTAGAGAACCAATTCTTTAACGATAAACATGACCATTCCCCACAAGGTGAAATGAAGAAAGTCCGTTACTTAATAAAAATATTTTATTTCTTTATCGTGTATATATACAGGACGCAACATTTCTGTAACGGTTGCATAGAGATGCTATATGCAGCTGACCTAGAAAAAGGCTCTATTGTTTTTTTTTAAAAAAAGAAAGAAAGTAAAAGCCAGTATATGAAACCATATCCTGGCTTGCTGTATGTATGTGCAGTTGCTGTAGAAATTATTTTTCTATATATATATATATATATATATATATATATGGGAAACGTATTTCTACAGTCATTTTAGATAAAGTTATCTACAGCCACCACTTTTAACTATGTTCTCCCGGGAGAACATAGTTATAACACTAAAGTTGATTTTTTTTCTCTCTCCACGTCAGCAGACAAGTTCTGAAAAGTAAATGAGAAGAGAGAAAAAATACAATTTTAATATTATAACTATGCTCTCCCGGGAGAACATAGTTAAAAATGGTGGTTGTAGATAAACTTATCTAAAGTGCCAGTAGAAATGTTTACCCATATATATATATATATATATATATATATCACAAGTTCTCTAATTTGATTTTTCTTTAATGTTTAATATTTCTCAATTTATTCAAATATTATTTTATGTTTGGTTCAAGTAAGGACACAGGGTATAGGAGAAAAGGAACATAATGCATTCTAATATTTAAATTTGCACACCGTTATTGCATATCCTACACCTTTACCAACCGAGTTATGTGAATTATCTCAGAGAAACTTATTTATATATTCTTATCACAAGATTAGGATTAAAATAAAAAAATTATAAAAATATTCTTGATTATATTTTTTTTTTTACTTTTTAGGATATTTTAATAATGTGTGTTTTTATAATAAAATATGTCTTATTGTAATTTTTTTTTAAAAAAAATTGAATGTCCTGTAACAATAGTACGTAATGGAGGAACTTTGTATAATATAATGAATTTTATTATTAAGTAAAGTAATATAAAATACTTGTTCATGGTTAACTTTTCCTCCACCTATCCTCCAGTTTTGATTAGAATAATTGTTCGAAGCTAAATTGATGAAGTTTCCTTTTTAAAATTATTCCTCCAACCAAATAAGAGAATATTGAATTCCAATCCATTTGTAAAATACTCAGATCATGATTACATTAATTAGCTCGCACCCTCTTTTGAGTTAAGCTTGTAGGTTACTCAGTTGTCTATTACAAATTTGCCTCGCATACTTTTGTTGAATTCACTCGCCCAATTCCCACCTCACGTATACATATTTTTATTGTATCTTTTTAGGGTGTATAATTTTAGGGAAATCAATTTGTCGTGTTGTAGGAATGACACTGTTTCTTCCTGCAACAAGATCCAGTTCCGTATCCTAAGGACCCCGTTCTAAATCTTGACCTTTTTTTTTTTTTTTTAAGTATGATTCTTCTATTTGATTTGTGTGTACAAGTCAAAAGCTCTTGTTATGTCACGTGACAAAAAACGAATCCATATTTCTATTTTTTATGTATTCTTGCCTTTGATGAAATCGGTTCGTATTCTTTTTTCGTGTGGCTTCTTTACTTTGTTCTCTTGACGTTGGACTAACATCAACGAACATGTCCATGATGTGTGTAAGTAAAAGTACCTGGAATTTATGCTCCCATGCACATATTGACAGAATATGATTCTATACTTTCGTAAACTGTATATATCGTTAGGGTTTTATTAATCTTCTTTTACATAAGATAGGTATCTTATGTTGTAGAGAGAAACTATGTGGGTCCCACCATTACAAGAAAAAAGAAAAAGAAAAAAAAAGTGAAGTGCGAAAATCGAAGTGAGAGAAAATGAGATAAGCTACCTCACGTAAAATGAGACTAATATTTCCCATATCGTTAATTTAAGAACATGAATAAAATCCATTTCCCTGTTGATTGATTTCACATAAAGTTGTTTGTGGTTGTGTATGAGTCTATCAAAAATCAATTCAACCTAAAAATTTAAAATGATAAGTAATGACTGCATTACTATTTTTGATATAACTTAGAGCTTTTAGGCTTGAAGGTGGATAGTGCACGTCCATTTTTGTATTTACCTTGTGCTGATTTCACTTGATTTTAAGCACTCGTACATGCAACTAATTCAACCCAATATCTTATTGAAGTGATAATCATATTAATAATTTATTTTAATAATTCCTCAGTAATTGGAAGATCAAATATTGGAATATGAGAATTAGTCATTTTATAAATATGTAAAGATAAGACTCCGTCAAAAGATTGTTCTTGCTAGAGAAATTTAATGCAGAGTGATTTTTTTTTTTCTCTTTGAGAGAAAGATTTGTCTTTTCGTTTTTTTGTTTGAGGCAGTGGGAGCATAGTTCGAGTGTCAAGTCTCATAAACTTTTTTTTTTTTTCTCTATATAAGGAGAAGTTCTAGGAGATTTTAAATTGGAGGAGTTCTCAGAACCAAAAGAGAAAGAGAGAGGGAGTGTGTGTTTGAGAACTAAAAGCCATGGGAGAGTATGGTTACACTTATCAGGGTTACTCCACCTTCAATACTGTGAGAGGTGAAACCCGAAGGCCTGTTATAAAGCCATTTGTTCCATCCATTCCCAACACCAACAATAACTCTGAGGGAAATGTTACCAAAAAAATAATAGTCCCAGTTGGTAGCAGCAGGCCTTATGGTGATGATGATTACAACAAACATAGCCCTCAAACAGAGGCTTATCCCATTAGGAATGATAACTATGCTGGTTATTATAATGGTACTAATGGCTATGGTGACTATGGTAGCAACAAAGAAGGGCGCAACCCCATTGGAGGTACCATTAGGAATGACAACCATGATGGTTATTATAATGGTACTAATGATGGCTATGGTGACTATGGTAACTATGGCAACAAAGAAGGGCGCAAGCCTATTGGAAGTACCATTAGGAATGACAACTATGGTGGTTATAATGGTCCTAATGGCTATGGTGAGTACAACAACAAAGAAGGACGCAAGCCGTTTGGAAGTACCCTTAGGAATGAAAACTATGGTGACAATGACTATGGTGACTACAACTACAAAGAAGTGCAAAGGCCAAAATATAGTTCAGGTTGGACAGCAGCACCAAGAAAAGGGACCCAACTAAGTGAGCCAACACATGATATTGGGAAGACCATTGAATTGTTGAAGAAAGCGGCAAAGGAGACCTCTAATAATAATAATAATGAGCATAGCAACAAGGGAGGGCACAAAGCTACAGGTAATGTTTCTTGGCTTGGTGAGTCAACAAACAAAGTTGAAAAGGGCATGGAGCTTGTGAAGGAAGCTGAAAGGCTCAAAAACATTGTAACTGGTCCTCCTCTTCGTTATGCTGATTACAGGGATGCTTCGATCATAGACCCTAGGAACGCTGAAAAGATTTTTAAAGGCAAGAAGGTTTGAAAAGCTCTATATATATATGTGTGCACAATATTATATGTATTAAGTTTAAAGTCAGTTAACTTGTTTTTTTTTCCCCCCTTAAGTTCAATATGTATAACCTTTCTGTTGGTGTGATTCGTGTATGTACCTCGTTTATAGAGGCAAAATCGTGTAAAATATAAGGTGTAAGGATTAAATAAACATGAGGAGTGCTAGTTAATTAACAATCCTTTCTTTGTGGCTCTTGTCTATGAACTGCCTAATTTATCATCTGTTTCTACACTAAATGGATTTTATGAAGAGCATAATTCTGCAATAAAAAAAAAGTATCATACAGTCCTAGCCTGTTTAGAAACATAACTATTAACTGCAAAAGGATTAAGAAATTTATATGGTATTTGAGATATAATAAGGATGCATGGCTGCCACTCTTCATATGCCCCTTCTACTAATGGGACATTGATTTTTGTGCCATACTTTTGTAATAAAAAATACCTTAACGCCACGGATTTAATTTTTTTTTCTTTTCAAAATGTGAAGTCACTGTGTAATGTATAGTCTAACCACGTGGAGCGTTCATAGCAAAGTCGTTGGGCCATGTAGCTACTTTTGTCCCTTTTTTGACATACGGCAGAGACAGGGCCTAAGTCGCTGGGCCTTGTATCTACTTTGAGAGGTTGTTTGTTGTGGGCCGGGCCCAAGAACTCCCTTTCCAAATATAGAATAAAAAAAGGATGGAGGGAAAATTTAGAAAAAAGAGAAGGGTATAAATGAGATAAAATTTTACCCAAAATAATAAAAGGATCACAAAAATTGAAATAGACCGGGATCATAATAAAAAAACCTCTACTTTGATCCCCTTTTCTGACACACGTGGCAGAGACATGGCCAAAGTCGCCGAACCATGTAACTACTTTGGTCCCTTTAGCGCTACAAATATGCCACGTGGCAAAGATTATAATCGCTACAGTATAGCAACTTCATTGACGTGGCACCTTGAAAAAAAAAATTGAATCTGTGACATTCGAGTTGTTTTTATTACAAAGTGTGACACAAAAGTCAATATCCCTCTACTAATTGTCTTTTTTTAATGAGCGAGGATATTCTAAATATCAAAAATTCTCACTATTTACTTACTACCTATCACATCACCATTGGATCAAAGAGAGAAAATGTTAAAAAGCTTTTGAAGAGAGAGAAAATGTTAATATAATGGTGATTAGATAAGTAGTAAGTTGATAGTGGAAAATTTTGATAGTTAAAATATCCCTCCTCTTTTTTAATAATAAATCCTACTAAACCATTTTCCTCATCACAAATGCTCTATATTAAGAAGGGTTCGCTTTTTCTGCAGTTACTGCAGATAAGTTATATGCAGTAAGTTCAATACGACGTCGTTTTGGGACAGAAATCATGGTGTTTTTGTAATTTTAATTTATTTCAGGGTTATAATAGTTTTTATATTTATAATTTTTTAAAATTTCAATACCAAAACGACGTCGTTTTGGGAATAAATGCAAATAACTTATCTGCATTAACTGCAGAAACATTTTTCCCTATTAAGAATACACATTTTTGTTTACCAAAAAAAATAAAAGTATACACATTTTTGGGTAGATGTATACTTAATATGGAAGGAAAACCAGAGTCAGAAAAGGATAAATTGTTAACGATAGCGCCACATCTTGATAATAATCATGCTTGGTTGCTCTGTCTGGCATGGATATAAAACTAATTTCATTCAAATATAGCCAATCTCCACGTTTTGTTAATAATCTGCTTGAGTCATCCAGAAGTTTAATGATTGACTCATAAATATCTGAAGAATTTTTTTTTTTGACAAAGCAGTGTAAATAGCATTGACCACTCGCGTTAATTAATTAGTTTACTACTCGTTGAAAATTAAGATTTGAATTATAATTAAATTTGGTAAGAGTTTTACCCCTCTCATTCTGCTCAACACTATCAGATTAGATTAATTAATTGATGAACTGATAGAAAAATTTAAAAAAAGAAATTGAATTATAATTCTATTTTTTCATTAATGACATTTTAAAACATACGCTCCAAGTTGATAATCTGCTTAAAAATTAATAAAGATGAGATGTTTCAAAAATAATTTGTTATTAAAGCATAGAGAGCTAGATTTGCTTGCATCCGTGTCGAGGTAGATCTGATAGAATTTTCTTTCCAAGTTCAAAATAGGTGGCGGGATTTTCCATGTTGGTTATGAGGGGCTCTGTAACACCCCGTTAATAACTGGTATGTTAATATTACATATGATATTAAGCGCAGTTACAATCACATCAGTTCAATTAAGAATACGACTAAACTTTTTTCTTTTTAAACGTTGCAAATTCCATTTAAAAAATTACCGTATTCAAATTAAAATAAAATTGTAATTATAACCCAGTGACATTGCAGAATGTTTACACTAAGCTTAAACATATCATACTACTTCTTTTAGACACTACTGTGAGAGTCTCATACCCCTCACAACCTTCCTTTTTATTTTCTAGCTTTTACACTGCTCGCAGAGTTCCTCATTGGAGCGAGCATCTCAGAGAGATTATGATATTTGCTCATTGAGAGAGCATGACAACGAGATAATAAATTTTCGAGATAAAAGCCACTGTGGTGCTCTGCCTCCTTGCTCAAGCGAGCCCTAAGAACGAGCAATGCTCAATTCGCTCATACAGCTCGTTAAAGCGAGCACGCCAGCGAGGATTCTGCTGCTTCGAACTTGGCTACTGTCAAGCTTTTAATTAGCTCGCTGGATCCCTCGCTCAAGAGAGGTCTCCAGCGAGCAACCCCAAAACGTGCAAGGTTCTACTTGTTTCTTTGCTCAACCTACACATGGTTGGTATACTTCTTGGGTACCTAATAGACATGGAAAGACAACCTCTATCTCAACAAACTAGGGTGCACTTACATCCCAACATCTTACATCAATTTAAGGCATTTTCTTATCTTTACTTTGTTTACAAGTTATGTACCTTTAACTTAATCTACAAGACCATTTGACAATCATGCATACTTCCATATACATTGCCAACACGTAGTAGTAAGGCACATAAGTAATAGATCCAAATCATGCAAAATAGACATCCATATCCTTCCATTATATATGCATAAAGTTCGTAATTACAAATGTCCGTGTACATCAATATCCTCGAAATATAAACATTGGAGCTTAGTTATACATCAAATCCTTGGCTCACTCCAACAACAAGAGAAACCAAAGGGAAATGAGCATATGCTAAGTTCAGCAAAATACCACATGATATATCTAATGAGCTATCAATATAAATCCTATACATATTCTTCTAACATATATATCTACATGATGCTCCCAAAATAATCCCAAACATGCTATCCTTAAGCCATCTGGTGTGACCTCCTGCCAACAGACGCTTTAGCATTATCAGTACCTAAAAGGGGGTCCCCGAAACGTGGGGTGGGATAAACATCTCAACAAACCAAGGGTCCTTGGAGGATCACTCCACCCTTAGGTTCACTTCCAGTGAATACACTCATCATGTAAACATCACATGGAACTTCCATGAAAGATCCACATAAGGCTATTTCTCTTAGGTTCTTACCACAAGGAGATCTACATAGGGCTATTTCTAAGGGAAGTTCATCATATCAAACATTCCTCAAACCATCCATGGAACTTCCAAGAGAGATCCGTAATGGGTTATTTCTCTTAAGTTTCTACCACAAGGAGATCCGCATAGGGTTGTTTCCAAGGGAAGTCATAATCTCACTCTAGGGACTTCCAAGAGAGATCCACAATGGGTTGTTTCTCTTAGGCCCTTACCACAAGGAGATCTGCATAGGGTTGTTTCCAAGGGAAGCACCTAACCTCAATCGAGGAACTTCCAAGAGAGATACATAACAGGTTGTTTCTCTTAGGTTCTTACCACAAGGAGATCCAGATAGAATTGTTTCCAAGGAAAGTCCCTACCAATCATCATTTCACACTACCCAAGGCACTTCTAAGAGAAATCCGCAACAGGACTGTCTCTTTTACGTTATTACCACAAGGAGATTCGCATAGGATTGTTTCCAAGGGTAAGTCCTTACTTGTATGATACTTTCAAGAGGGATCTTCGAGGGTTGTTCCTCTCAGGTATTAACCACAAGGAGCTCCACTCATGGTTGACTCCAAGGAAAGACCACACATAAAATCACACATGTATATGTACATCCGACTGATCTAAGGACTATTCAATCTTTTATCATTTATCTGTGATTACCTCATCTCTCGACTACTAGTCATCACCTCATTCACTAATCCTCAACCATTACCTCATTCCTCAATTATCCGTCATCATCTTATTTATTAACTTTCAACCATTACCTCATTTCTCAATCATCAATCATTATCTCATTCATCATTTATATTATTACCTCAAACCTCAATTCATATTATTACCTCATTCATCGTTTTTACATTATTCAATCATTCATCAATCATTTTTTAACAGTCATAACATCAATTATCATTTAACAATCATTACATCATTTATCAATGCATGAGCATGCCTTCACTGTCATTATCATATACCACATCATATAACCATTCCTCCACACAGAGCATAGTGGAACACACAAAGAGATTAACTCCAAGGTCCGAAGATTTACCTTTACCGTAGACTTTTATTCTCTTATTCCTTTACCTCAAATGCCAATAATCACCAATTTTAGCACAAGCAACCTATAGCCAAAGTGAGAATGGTTTCACCAACATAGTTATCACACAATACATAGACATACATTTTTCATAAATTTGAGAGGTGACCAAAATGGTTTTCTAAACAGATTTTCACCATTTATTTTACTCCCTTAGCATTTTATCCAATATAGGCTAAGCCTAATTCATACCTCAACATACCCAATCTACCCACATTTCCATAAAACCTTAACGTTGCATTTCTACATAACCTATTGACCAATGATCAGAAGGTTCGTAGACACATGGGAGGGGAGATGCATCATGTCTTAGAAACATTAAA